CTGGCATTTAAAGATTGCTTGGTGTTTTAGCATTTGCTCTGTTCATTAATGAAGGAAGGTTGTATTGTCATAACTCACTTCCCAGTGCAGCATGCCAAACTATTACCTTAGAAATGCACAGGGCCAAAGGCCCCATACTGTGAAGTAGTGTTTAGCCATTGAAAACTTGAGGCATTCAGCCCATTAAAATTTCGACCATGTTGAAAGTGTCAGCTGTTCTGCATATAAAGTTTTTGAGTAAGGTGCACATTTGGTGAGTGGGGTTTTTTTTTTGTGTAATTTCTTTTTTTAAATCTTGCAACATTTCGCAAACACTTTCTAACATGTTTAAATTTACTGGTGTGCTCTCATTTCTGGTCTTAGGTGTTTGCCTTGCAATAATATATAGAATCATAAAATCATACAGAAGTAAGACTGGAAGGAACCTTACAAGCTCATCAACTCCAATACCCTGCTTAAAGCAGGACCATCCCTGTCTAAGCCATTTGTCCAACTCAGGGGTGCTAAATCCCCAGCCTACAGTGCTGTCTCATCCATCCTAAAGGGCTCCCCATGGGTCTGGAAATGGCAGTGGGGACTAGTGGCCCAGCTCCTGTTGCCAGATTTCCAGACCCATGGAGCCCCAGGCCCCAAGAGATGGATAGGGTACTCAATCCCAGTGTGCAAGGCTGGGCTGGGGTGGCACTGGGCCTTACAGCTCAATCTCAATGTGGATGAGGGTGTGATGCAAGGACCTGGTGTCCAATCCCAGAGCATGGGGCAGGAAGCAGCAGCAGTGGGCAACCAGGTCCCAATCCCAATGTGTAGGGGCAGGAGGGGGCGATGCAGGTCCTCAGGGCTGATCTAGTCTGCAGACTGGCCCATGCCATTCATCTGGCCCATGGGGCCAAAAGGTTGAATATCACTGGTCTAACTTCTTCTCAGAAATTGCCAACAGACTTCATAAGCTTTTTAGGTAGTCTGTTCTAATGTTAACCACCCTCCTAGTGAGAAAATTCTTCCCAATATCCAACTTAAATTTTCCGAGCTATAATTTAAAACCATTGCTTCTTGTCCTGTCCCCTGCAGACATGTGGAATCCTCTGCATAACCACCCTTCAGCTATTTGACGACAGCTATCAAATCCCCCTTCTGTTCCCCAGACTAAATAATCCTAGTTCTTTCAGCATTTCCTCATATAAATCACACTTCCCATACCTCTAATCATTTTTGAAGGTCTCTGCTGGACTCTTTACAATTTATCCATAACCTTCTTGAAGTGTGGAGCCTAAAACTGGGCACACTACTCCAGGTGAAGCCTTACCAGTGCTGAATTAATTGGGAGAATTGCTTCCCTTGATTTGCAAGTGATGTTCTTATTAAAACAATCCAGTATGCTATCACCTTTTTTGCAATGAGAGTGCAGTTAACTCATATTCACATTATGATCTGCTGGTCCCCACATCCTTCTCTGTGGTTCTACAGCTTAGCCAGCCATTCCCCAGTCTGTACTTGTACATGCAAATTATTCCATCCCAGGTGCAGGATTTCACACTAGTTCTTACTGAATTCCATTTAATTGATTTTGGACCATTTCTCCAAGGTTATCCAAGTCATCCTGCAACTTCATGTCATCTGTAAATTTGCTGATTGTGCACTAAATTCCATACTCCAAATCATTAATGAAGCTATTAAACAGTACCAGCTCAGGACAGACCACTGGGGAACCCCACTCAATACCTTTTCCCAAATCAACAGTCATTGATTACTACTCATTGAGACTGATAAATCCATATTTCAGTACTTTCATCTCTTCTGTATTGGCTTATGATTGAAAATGTTATGGAAGACTACATTAAAAACCTTACTAAGGTCTAGGTACACTTCATCCACAGAGCGTTGTTAGAGAAGGAAACCAAAGTGGTCAGGCATGACTTGCTCTTGATGAATCCATGCTGGAAGATCAGGAACATCCTCAGGCGCTTTTAAATGGATTGCTTGATGACCTGCTCCATAATCTTCCCTAGTATTGTGATCAAGCTGTACGGTCTATAATTCCTCTTCTTCCCTTTCTTACAGATGGGCATTGTATTTGTCTTTTTTGACTCCTCTGGGACCTCACCCAACCTCAGAGGTCTCAAATGAATTCAGAGCAAATGGCTCTGAAATTATCTCTGCCAATTACTTCAGTGCTGTAGGCTGCATCCCATCCAGCCCTGCTGACTTGAAAACATTTAGCTTCTTTATGTAGTTTGTAACCTGACCTTGCTCTACTTTAAGATGCTTATCTTTTCCCCCATCCATGCTGCCAACTGCACTTGCCAACCTTACTTGTGAAGGCTGAAGTAAAAATAGCATTAAATACTTCTACCTTTTCTGCATCCTCCATTACTAGATTGACTTCTGCATTCAGCGAGGAACTTATACTTTCCTTGGCCTTCCTCTTAAATTCTAACATACTTGCAGATTCCTTTTTATTGCTTTTTATGCCCCTCCCAAGTTGGATCTCAAATCATACCTTGGCTTTCACAATTTTCTCCTTGCATGCCTGTGTGATGCTAATACAGCTAAGTTTCCTCTTTTTGTAGAATTCCTCTTTGAATCTGATCATGGATAGCCTGACAGTGGAGTGGAGAAGCCTGTTAATGATTGGTGGACTCAAAGAGCAGGCCCCTATTGCTCCTGGCTGGAGGTCACCTTCAAGGCAACTTTGTAGATCTCCAGCCACAGAACTGAAAGGTCTATATGTCCCCTCACTAAAGAGCTCATTGTTTAGCCAGACTGGCTTTGCTGCTGCACTTCATTTTGTTCCTTTGCACTGAAGTAGTTTGCTCCTGCATCTCTAATAGGGCCTCCTTAAAGTACAGGAAATTTACTGGGCTTGTCTTACTCTCCAACTAGCCACCCAGAAGATCCTTTCCACCAGTTTCCTGATTTTGTTACAGTCTGCTTTTCTAAAGTCCAATGTCTTTATTCTGTTGTTCTCCTTCCTTTCCTTAGGATCTTGAACTGCATCATGTTCACTGTCACCCAAGTTACCTTCTGCCTTTGTATTTTTAAACAATTCCTCCCTGATTCTGACCAGCATGACGAGAAGAGCTTCCCCAGAGTTGGCTTCTACCACCTGTATCATGAAGTTATCTGTGACACCATCCAGGAACTTGCTAGACTGCCTGTGCAGTCCAGCAGATGTCACAGTAAGTAAAGCCCTCGTGAGGACCAGAGCCTGCAATTTGAAAACTTTGGTTAGTTGTTTAAATGAAGCCTCATCTACCTTTTCCACCTGTTTGGTGGTCTATAATAGACATCTACCCGTAACATGACCCTTGCCATTTTCCCCTCTTATCTTGACATAGAAGCTTTTAACACGCTTACCTCCTGTTTTGTACTACACCTCAGAACAGGCATACATCCTGCCTGTGGAGAGTAATGCCACTACCTTTTTTCCCCTCTGCCTGTACTTCCTGAACAAGTCAATCCATCCATGACACACAGTACTCCAGGTATGGAAACTATCCCACTAATTTTGTTATCCCAATTACATCATACTTGCACAATTGTACTACAGATTCTAATTCTTCCTGCTTAATCCCCACACTTCTCGCATTATAAACTTCTCAGGAAACTAGTTGATTGCCCTGATTTCTTGCTTTCTCTACATTAATATAATCATGCAATTAAAGATTCCCAGGTCACAAACAGGCATTAACATCTGTAGCACTAAATATACTCTTGTAGTGCTACGAAAAGTGAGCATACCGCTGTTCAAGCTACTTGTGGCATTAAAAAGACACTGAAAAAAGGCCACAAAACAGGGCTATTTTTGAAAAGGAACTCCTCGGTTTTGCAGCGCTCCATGCAATGCTTGTTCAGTTATATGTAGTGCTACAGGGGCCTCTAGCCCTGCCCTCCCCCAGGATCCCACAATCCTCTGCTCTCCCTCCCCAAGGGGGAAGGAAGGACACCAGCTGACTTTCTGATAACTCACCCAAGAATGAGCTATCAGGGAGTCCTGCTGCTGCCATGGGCCAACACAGCTGGAACTCTGCGTGGTCAGAAGGGAGGAACCCCTGCCCAGTTCTTCTGATCAAGGGAACCTGATAGGCAAACCTGTCTCAAAGCTGCCCCCATGGGAACAGCTACCACAGCTTAAAGAGCCCTGGCTCTTGCAAGGGTTTTAAAAAGCAGCGCTAAAACCTGCCTGGCATTACTAGGGGTGGCAGGGGTGTGGAATGCAGTTCCCTTTGCCCCTAAGTCCACAGACAGCTTTTCAACAGCTGCCGGCACATCGAGAGCCTACCCCCTTCCCCAGCAAGGAAGTGGGTAGGCTGTCAATTATGTAAGTCTTCCTCCAACCTTGTAAGGAGATCAGGGACACAGACCTCATTAACTAAGCTTCATGTCCATAAGAGTAGTTTATAGACTTCGTATACAGCATAGGCCTCAGACACAGTAAATTAAGTGCCATATAGATTATAGGGAAGGGTTGCATGTTACAGTGCATTAGCAAATATTTAATCATCTTTGATGTGTGTATTGTATTGTATCCAGGCACATAGAGCAGGGACAGTTAAAGATGTGCACATAATTCCAGTTTTGGGATTTCCCGACTACAGCATATTGTAACATCTAATCTTCAACATTCTCCTAATGGGAGACGCGCTTAAGATACTAATGGAACACATGCACCATCTATAGGCTGTGCTACCACCTTGCATGTTTAAAGGGTTGTTCATACAGATCCCCAAGCAATTTACTTAAATGGGTAAATGACATGATTCTCATCTTACAGAAAAAACCTGGAACACGGAAAAATAGCAATATATTACAAAGCCCAACCCACTCAGTAACAAAATTCACATCCCGTCTGGTGCTTTTTCTAATGACGTTTGTGTTAGTTGAAACACAAGCTCATCTTAAGTGTCAAAAGTTTAGCAAATATTGCTTTGAAGTGGTTTGTATAAACATATGTAAAATAGAAAAAAACAAGTATGTGAACAGAAAATTAACGATTTATTGTTTTTAAAAAAAATCAGCATTATGAAGGTGTACAAAAACAAGTTATAAAAAGGACATGTATACAAGTTGTCAGCTGTTCTGTTACTTTGTCTTCTAAGAGAGGAGACATCAATAGTTTTCTATGATGCACCATGTGTGAGTTCTCCTGAGATGGGTGACAGAACGTATACAGATTGTTACACCCTCCTCAAAGTGCTGCATAAAACTGTACTAATTAATCCCAACACCCATTTGAGGTAGAAATAGGCTTTTGTTTGTTTGTTTTTTTACAGGTAGGGAAACAGGCACACAAAAGTGAAATTAATTGTTCAAAGCCTGGCAGCTTATCAATGGCGAAGGCAGGGTAACAACTAAGGAGTACCTACCTATCATATTACAAGACCATGGTGTGCTTTAGGTTACAAGATGGTGCTTTATTTTTTCTTTTTAAACCAAACCCCCAAAACAATTCAAGCTGAAAATTCGCTTTTGGTGTTTTTCCTCCCTATGAAGCAAGATTAAGTTATGAAAAGCCCGCTACTGGGCACATGCCTGTGGACTTTTAACCTGTCCGGCAAAGCTACCAATCCCTCCACCGAAGGCAGCAAGTCTTCTAGCATGCAAGAGAAAATGGTTACGCATCCATCTGCAGTTTCATACAATCACACTACACCTCTGAGCATGAAAATGACATGAGGAGCTAAAATCTATTTTTCCCCCCAAAATAAAACCCTTCATTTGAAATGGAACAAATGGAGACCAAAATGTGCATGTAAAAAGAGATAAAGGCTCTTGCTTTTAAAGTGATACTGTCATTAAAGACAAAGTTTTAGTTTTGACAGAAAAACTGGGAAAAAGTAACTTTAAAAGAGTTATTAATCTCTTTTTAAAAAGATTTTGGGGGGGCAGGGGGGAGGGCACGACATGACCATAATCCAGACATTATGGTACTGTGGTAGGAAGTGAGAGCCTAAAATGAAAATGGGCTGTAACTAGAAGCATCTTTTCTTTATGTTCTCCATCTCAGCTGAAATAAAGTGTACAAAAAAGGTAAACGGTAAGGTGCAAAGCATATTTTTTGGAAATGAAACAGTAAAACTAGATGTATAATGATTCAAATCTAGTATTTTAATGCTTCTAAGAAGAGGTTAAGACTTCTTTAAAAAAGCCACAGGATTTTTAGCCTGACAGTCTCTCTCTAAAATATTTGTTAGTACTTTCAGCTTTTTAAAACAGGCAATTTAAAAAAGTATGCAGTTCTCTCATTTTCTGAAAAGATCGAAGAAAAAAAAAAAAAGTCAGAGCAATACTGACATCTCAAAAAGTCTACTGGCATTTTACACAAGAAATCAGAGATCATGTTTTATAATAGATGCATGCAATTTAGGAAATTTGTGTTTGCCCATTTTTCAATTGTATATTTATAAATGCCATTTGTTATCCAATATCTTAATGTATTATTCAACTATATGCAATCCATTTTGCATAAGATTACTTTATTCCAGTCATAAGAAGCAAAAATAATGTCTTTTTTAAGTGGCAAGAGTAGACAGTCTGTATTATTGGGAAAAATCTGCATCCTTGCATGCACTCACTGTAACTATTTGCAAAAATGAACAGCCAAAAAGAAGATAGATGGGAATGTGGCTTAAGTATTTCTGAGAGGGGGTAAGTTCATGCTTGCAATGTACATTGAATTAGTCATTTTAAAGTTTACATTATGAGCAGAAAAGAGTTGATCAAGGCAAAGGAGTACTTCAAAGTCTAATTTGATGTTCAAAGGAGTAAACTCCTAACCAACTCTTAATTCATGCAGTGCTGTTAGCAAATTTCTTCAGGAGTTTTAATCTTCAGTGTGAAATATTCAGACTCATGTAGGCCTAATTTCAGCATAAGCATTGGATTACTTTCATCTAAGACATCCTACAACTTGTTATAGATGCAAATGTTAAGCTGTTCAGGAAGTATTATGGAAGTAAATTTAGCTCAGGTAAATTTTCTCATGCAATTTGGCTGAATATATTATTTTCTCAATAGGATTCTGTCTCTTTAAGAGGTTATGCAGTTTAAGAGGCACTTTAATTTATAATATGTACAGTACAGAACTTCTTTTCAATATTTTCAGGGATCGTTTGCTATGTCTGCTGAGACCACAAAAACCGGTCACACCTTTCCAGCATGGACTGAATGAGGGCTCTGCAAAAAAAATGCAAAAAGAAAGATCAACCATAAACAATTAGAGGATCAATAGTTAAATGTCTCTGAAATAGGTGACTAGTCAGATGAAGCAGCTGAAGATGTCTAAACATGAATCTAAGGCCACTGACAGGTATTCAAAAAGCACAATGGGATCTGATGCATGATCCCAACAGTCATGCTTCCCACCATGCCACATGCGCATGGCAAGAAACACGATTGCACATCAGATGCCACCATGCCATATTGCTGGTGCAAGCGGAGCCCAAGATCACGATCCAGGGCTCCCCTCTGCACTAGCAATCTTTGCTCATGAGACTGGGAGCTCTCTTGATTGACCGAGTTCCCAGCCCCTGGAGCACATGGTGCTCCCCGAGCTCAAACACTGACGGGGCTCCCAGCCATGGAAGTGCATTGTATGCTCCCATGGCTGGGAACACCATCAGCTAATCAGGTCTCCCAGCTAGGAGAGCTCACAGTGCTCCCCAGGCTGGGACCCTCAATCAGCTGACCAGTGCTGCCAGCCTCCAGAGCACACTTCAAGGAGCGTGCTCTGAAATTTGGGAGCACCGGCCACACATTTATTTAAACGCATGATAGGAACCCATGACCAAGTTATTATGCATATTTTGTGTAACCTTTGTCACTTATTCCTAGTTTTATTGCACCATTAATTGAATGAATATGTGACCAGGTCACTACTAAGATGCGATTAACTAACTGATCACATCTTCACTGTAACGTGTACTAAGGGTCTGCTACATCCCCACTTCTGGCTTTTTTCCTCTCCAACTTGAATGGGGTGCATAAGTGACACACAGCAAAACACTGCAGGAATATTTTCTTCATAAAAGTTTATTATTTGGGCTCCAGGTTCTTATTGAGATTCCAGGTTATTTCTATTGCTTACACCCACCCCTCAATATTGAAGTGACAGAGGTTTCAACAGAAACTTTTAAACTACCACCCTCCAGAAATTTGTTTTTGGAAAAGAGTGAATGCTTTTTTTTTTTTTGGTGCACTAAGGAAGACAATTAAGAGTGGCTCTTCACAGGGAAGAACTATTGTGTAAAGAGACTTCGAAATTCCACGTTTTAAGTGTGACTTTGGACTCCAACAGCATTTATAAAGCTACCATTCAAGCAACTGAAGACAAGAGAAGGCATGCTTACAGTACTACAGTTCTCGGGTTGTAAATACTGAATAGAGGTTTTGGCCAATGATCTCCTTTTTAGGAAACATTTATTGTCATTTATTTTTTATTTATATACACTCCATTTTTAAGCTATACGTGTCTACCATGTTAAATTGGGAGGAGACATTCTTAGGTGTTTTTAACATTTAAAATTAACATTTAAGCTTCTGGGGATGAATCAAAAGTGTTTTGGCCTTTTTCTAAATTTAATAAAAACCCAAAATAAGATGATCACGAGTAAAGTACCAATCGCCCTCTGATCTCTACAGACACACAGCATTTACCTTTGCCTTTTTTCAGCAATTCTCAGTATCTCGCAGACCCTGGTAAATCTGTCAGACAATTCGACTGTCAAGCCACACTCCTGCAATAGTGGCAATGCATTATCTGGCCCAATCACCTTTGCTAACAAGAGAGCTATATTTTCAACAGTGATGCAGTTAGACCAATCAGAGCTGCCATTGCTGACAGTATTCCCATTCTGTGCACCAGCATGGTGGGGACCCGTGCTGTGACTCTGTGCAAGGTGGAGAAGGAACTTCCATTCGTCCATAATCTCTGGAAGTGAATCTAAAACATAAAATTAATATATATTAACATTTGATTATCTATGAAGGTAAGCCTCCTACAAGCTCAGCCGTTTTTAATCTTCCTGTATTTAAACAGCAGCTTGTATTCTAACATCAAATCTACTTTTATATCTTAAAATATAAAAGTATGGGGGCTGGACTTGATGATCTTCCGAAGTCCCTTCCAGCCCTAATGTCTAATGTCTATGAAATATTTGAAAAAATTACAATTAAACTTTTAATGAACTTGCATGAACCCAAGGGTCCTGAATCTACCTTGGGATATCAAGGTATCTAGAACTATGATGCAGACTAAGCTTTTCTGACTGTCACTACAGTTGTAGATTATACAAAATAGACACTGTAGATTTTTTAGTGAAATTCCACCATCTGACCCACTAAGCAAATCACTGCATCTCATGAAAGAATTGGTTCTAGCAAACTGGAGGATTCTTCAAGATATGTGGCAACATGCAACAAATTAAAAGGCACTGCTGCAGTTAAAGAAACCTGGTTAAAATATCAAGACATTTGAACCACTCTGATGACAAGGCTGCCATTTTAAAATAATGTAAAAATTGCTGTGTAATTTTGTTGGAAGATGAAAAAAAAAATCAAACTGCAAAGGAGCATCACACTGACTTATATACTGTTACATTTATATTGTACCATGCACCAAGCAACTGCTTAAAAAAAAAAAAAAAAAAAAAAAAAAAAAAATCAACTCTGGATAAACATTTCTCTGAAACTGGCAGGCCATCAGTACATAAAAAGTATTCAATATGCATCATAAAAATGTGCACACACGTTAAGTTTCACTAACCATGTTCTTCATCTAACAGGTTCATATCATCCAAATGAACAATGTAAGTAAAGGCTTCTTTTCTTCTATCCATCTCCAAACAAAGTGAAAGATATCCAGGCCAGAAGCTTAAATAAGAGAGCAAAGATTTCCAGGAATAAAACAGTTGGTCTAAAGTAGAGCCAAATGATAATTAAATGCTGATTTACGAACACCTCAGTAAGGACCAAGACAACCAAGTCCCAGGAACAACAAGGAATAGGCTTACAACATACATTTTGGAGCAGAGAACCAGAAGGCATAACAGGGCTGTCCAACTTCTGGGCAGCTGGGGGCTACACACTAAGGCAGCTAAAGACCTAGGGGCCATTTACTGCATGGGCCACCCAACCAGTCTGGTTCCCTCCTGCCACACATACAGCCTCACCCCGTCATGGCCAACCATGCTGTGCAGGCAGCTCACCCCTCTGCCGCTGAGTGGCCAGGTTTCCTCCCTTGCTGTGCGCCCCAAATGATGAACGCAGCCCCCTCTCACACCAAACACACTGCATAGGTACACTGCCCTTTCTACTGCTCCACCCCATCCCCAGGAGCAGAGGTAGAAGTAGGAAGTCAAGGAGGAGGAAGGAACTTGGAAACAACAGCTGCCACGGAGCAATGAAGGGAGTGGCAGCTGGGAAGGAGCCCACATGTGGTCCACAAACCACCAGTCGAACATCCCTGAGGTATAACAGCAGTGCTCAAGATCTGCTATTCACTGCTTTAAATAGCACAGCTTTTCATCAAGTGATACCTCAAAACCAAAAAGGTAATAAGCATTCACTGGTAAAGCAAATCCAAGTGATCCCAGCCAAGTATGATTACCGTACGATTACTTCTTTTTCACATTAAACACTTCTAGCTAGAAAGCAAGACAAAACTGCATAGATATGTTTTCTGTGAGTACTTTGGCTATTCATAACCTGTACCTGTCATTTCCACAAAAGCCAGACATAAAATACTTCATTTAAATTAAGTTAGTGCTGACAAGGAACACACTGACTTTCATTTGTAGGTTCAGTGGGCCAAAATGTCAACTAAATAAGCATCAAGAATAATCTTAGTTTAGCAGTAAATCAAACTACTGGCTTACCCATGTGACTTACAGATGTCAGCCATCTTTTCTTTAGTTACAAAATCAGCTGGGAGTTTAATGAGAAGCAAAATCAGTTGGCTATATCCCCAAGTAAACAAGTGTGAACGTGGGCTGAAAAAAAGATATTAATTAACAAGTTAAAGGTTAATATTCTTCTGAGTTTTAAAAAATTCTACGAAGCGGCCAAATACACGACACAGGAATGCTTAATGTGAAAGACAAGTCTGATCATACTAAAACAAAAAATAAATAAATAAATAAAAAATCAGAGATTAATGTATTCAGTTTTCCTTCTTTGGACTCGTGTTAACTTTTTCTTCTTCCTCTGCCAGCTCAAACGTTAGCCTGGCTTTTTTATTTCAAAACTAGCATAAATGAGGGTGTGTGTGAAATGGGCTGTATTTGATTCAGATTTGGCCCAAATCAGGGACAGCGATTCAATTCATTGATTTGGATCACTGTCCCTATTTGATTTGGCTGAATCCAAATTTGAAGATTCAATGCCAATTCAGAGAACCAGCGATTTGGCTACAGACACAGCTTTAAATGTTTTTTCTACATACCTTGAGGTACCAATTGTGGCTTGTGAACACTGCGATGGTGGGGCGGATGGAGTGTCCACTTCCGGGTGCACCACTGAGTGTGCAGGGGAACCCCCAGCTCGGTGATCAGCACCCCTCGGGCTCGGTGATCGGCCATGGGGGGGATCCCAGGTGCCCCCCCAAGACCTAGGAGGCATCAGTCGCCGAGCTGGGGGGTGGGTGGGCCCCCCTCCAGCAGACTCAGAAGTGGACCGGAGGAGCTTCTGGTCCACTTCTGGGTCTGCTGCCGAGCACGCTGAGGACCCCCCGGCGCTCCTGTGGGATGCTTCATCTGCCTCAGCATCTCAACATTCACGAGCCACCTGGTACCTTGAGGTATGTAGAAAAAACATTTAAAGCTGTGTCTATGACCGAATCATTGAAACTTTCCAAATCAATTCAGAGGGTTCCAATTCGATTCTGAGAGATTAAAGGGTCTCCCGATTTGATTTGGATTCAGGGATTCAGCCACCAAATCGGGCTGAATCTCTGCTGAATCTAATCAGTGACCGAAGCTTCGCACAGCCCTAGCATAAATACCATACACATCTTTGTACATAGTGTGCATGCAGTCAAACTGGGCCAGCAGGAAATTTCAAACTCTTCAAATATGTTTCCAGAGAACATGAACTTTAAAAATGACTCTTGTAAATGAGATGACATTTTCATAAATGTGAATGTAAATGGTTAGCAAACAGACCGTTCCATGTATATAGAAAAATATTTAAAATACTGGTTACTTCTGCTGAGTATTTTGAGTCTGTGAGGTCAGAGTCATACTCATTCAAGTTACTGGAAAAAAAACCAGGCGGGACACACACAAAAAAAACAACAAAAAAACAAAACCAAACAAACAAAACAAACTTACCTGGGGTTTCCCTCAGCATCCACAGTGTTTGCTTTTTGTGGTGCATCATAAGAAACTGCCCATTCTAGCCAATCTAGTCGTAAGGATTCAGGCTGAAGAAGTGATCTAAGCAGAGATGCCCTAGACAAAAGATGGCAGGAAGGCAGTTGATTTCAAATTTATCAAATATGGACATGTGAAAGCACAGGTATATTAGAGACAGAGGAGCATGTTTACACAACACGCTAGAAGCGCAGTAGACTAATTCTACTGTTCATCAGCACATCATGGCGAAAGCTGTGCTAGTGCACAGCAGAATTAGTCTACTAAGCATTAGCATCACATAAAAGACGAGTGCCAATTCTACTGCGCAGTAGTGCCAATTACAGTGCATTAATTTAGTACCATAATTATAGCTCATTAAGGCATGTGTAGATGTGCCGAGTTAGAGAGAATGAATGAGAGTGAGTGAGGGAGTGTGAGTGCATAAGCACACGTGCATGATTACATACATGCACATGCACGCACACACACACAATTTTAAATGTCATGGATGTCGTGGAAACACACGCAGCATACTTTTGGGTCAGGTCAGCAGAAGCTTTTATTTAAAAGAAACTACAGCTGTAGGGGGGATTTCAAAGTGACATGGATTTTTTAAGCACTTGGAAGGGGTCCCCCCCCCCAAGAGCAAAATCAGGAGGCTTATATATTTTTTAACAGTTGCTTACAACTCACGTGATCATATAGTGAAATTAGCATGAAAAGCGGCTATAATATTACTTTATTATTTCTTTGCTGTAATCAGGATGGGAACTAATGGGGGAGGCGAGGTTAGTTTACAAACCTCCTTCTTACACCTGGAAATCAGATTTGTACATACTTTTTTGTTATCTTCAAGGCCGCGGTGAGCGAAGCAGTTGCAGAGGAGTTACAAAGAACAAACACTTTCTCTTATCTGTTCTACTATACAGAGCCAGCAATTTTCCACAAAGCGGTTATGTCATCTTATAACTAAAATAATCAAAGTTTAAGGCATATATTTTTTCTGATTCCACATGGATCAGTATCAGAAAGATGAAGTGAGTTTTGGCACTTAGGTAAATTATGCTTGGAATAAATTCTGGTGCCTTCAGTAATCAGTAACGGTATATATACATTTGAGTTCTGCATGTTAAACAGTTTTTATTCACTCCTGGATACAGTTAATCCATTAAATCACAGTTCTCCTTAAAGAATAACTAAGAAAAGCTAGGTAAAAAAGGAACTACTTTATAAACAGGACTATTGTTAGGGCAAGGAACACATGAAGAAATTAACTGGCAGAATGAAAAACTATTGTGCATTAAGCTCTACTCAATATTTCAGGTACAGGTTAAATTAAAAAAAAACACACACACATCTGTATGACAAATATCTTTTATGTTATGGAAACATTTCCCAAAACAAAGGCACACAGCATATGTATAGACATTTTACCTTTTGTCTTCTGGTTTGGATTTTACAAGACTGTCTAAATATGCCAGGAAATGGGCAGGGTGATGTCTACAAAGCTGCATGATGTCAGAAGGCAAGATGGACGGGTAGAACTTGATCAAGGGCCTCAGAGCTGTTTCTCCAAACTTCTCATAGAGTCTGTACAAAACAGATACCTTTAATGCCAAATTGCAGCAAGACTGCTGTCACTTAGATAATATAAGAATTACAAAATTCTAATTCACTTTCCAGTCTCTTACAAATACAGCTCTCAAATTCTGATAGAACATTAACTATAAAAATCTCACATACTGTTAAAGAGGCTAGCAGGAATATGAATCCAGAGTATGGCAAAGAAAAAAAATGTCTTGACTTTGTCAAAAATCATCAATACTCAGAAAAGAAAGTCATAAACCACAGACCTTTGGACATGTGCCAGTAACAGAGGGCTATCCCAGGGCCTCAGATCATTTAATAATTTTAATATTTTCAACATATCACCATTTTCCATTGCCGAAGTCACTGGACTACTGTGTGTCAGCTCTGAAACAGAAATCCTTGAATCAGTTGTGAGGTTTCTCTCATGCTAAGCTAGACATAGAACTTCCTCTGCTCTTTGTCTGTTGTGAAAACCTATTTCCAATCAACAGCCAACAAGTAAATACATCACAAACAATGCTAAAACTCAAACACTCAGAGTGTAATAGTGTTAAAACAAAGTTACCATCATCATAGTATTTTTGTAGAGGGTACATTTTTATTTTAAAAAATTCAAACCAAAAATGTTTTCCACTTTTTCTTTTTTTTAGGCTTAAGATGATTTGCTTCTTTCTGCATATCATATAAAATAATACATAGCTGGAGAATGTTCAGCTTCCTGTGCACTGAACAGACTCTTTACTTTTTAACACAATGTTATTAACTTTTCTTAAGAGAGTACAATTAGAAAATGTTGACTGCCAATAGAACTCTCCTCAAGTCACTGGGGAATTCAGTTGCTGACCTCATAGATAGTAACATGTTGGGAATAAGGGTCGGGGTGTAGCTCTCTATGTAAAGGAGCAGTACATATCCCTAAAAGCGGAGATTGGCAGTAAAGAAGGGCAACTGGAGACCCTCTGGCTTAAAATACGGGGAGAGCATGGTGAAGGAGATTGGACTATAGGAGTTTATTACAGACCTCTGAACCAAGAGGAAGACCTCGATCAGGAATTCTCTAGAGAACTGGCAGAGGCTGCACACTTTTGGAGCACGGTCATCATGGGCAACTTTACCTACCCAGACATCTCATGGGAAGAGCACTCAGCTAGATATGATCAGTCACAAAGCTTCTTTACTTGCATTGAAGAGCTCTGTCTGACTCAAGAAGTCTACGGGCCAACCAGGGGTAAGGCACTCCTGGACTCGGTTCTGGCCAAAGGAGATGATCTAGTGAGCAACCTGAGGATCAAGGGGAAGCTAGGCGACAGTGACCATGAGACAATCACCTTTTCTCCATTGATTGCAAGACAGGGAACTCAGTGAGCAGGGTAGAAATCCTTGAATTTAGGAAAGCAGACTTCTACAAGTTTAGGAGATTGGTTGGTGAGGCCCTGCGGGACCATGTTCCAGTGGGGAAGGGAGTCTAAGATGAGTGGTTGCTCCTCAAGGATGCGATCCTCGAAGCAAAAAGGAAGTCAATTCCTGTTTGTAACAAAGGTAGCAAGGGAGCTGAGACACCCCCTTGGCTCAATAGAGAAGTCATGGACTGCCTGAAATTGAAAAGAGATGCTTATAAGGGATGCAAGTTGGGAATTACCATCAAGGAGGAGTACATAGCAATAGCCCCGCACCTGTAGGGAGATCAGAAAAACAGGCAAAAACCGAATTCAAACTGGCAACAGAAATCAAAAACAATAAAAAGTCCCTCTTTAGATATGTAGGAAGTCAGAGAAAAAATAAGGGAAACAGAGAACCCATGCTGAACATAATGGGACAGCTGATAACTGACACCCAAGAGAAAACCGAACTCCTAAAGGAGTACTTCGCGTCGGCAGTCCACCAGTCTAAGGGTGTTTTCCTGCCTGACATGATAAAAGATGATCAAGGTGGGGATGATCGCTCACGCATAGTTGGCGAAGATCTCATGAGGGAATATCTGGAGAGGCTGGATAGCTATAGGTCAGCAGGACCAGATGAACTACAACCACGAGTGCTAAAAGAATTGGCTGATGTCATCACACGGCCAATGGCAAAGCTATTTGAGAACTCGTGGCACTTGGAAGAGGTTCCAGAAGGTTAGAAGACAGCCAACGTGGTGCCTCTCTTCAAGAACAGAAGAAAAAAGCCCCAAGGAATTACAGGCAAATCAGTTTGACCTCAATCCCTAGAAAAATCCTGGAAAAAAAGATCAAAGAATCCATTAGTGGTAGTCCAACTGAAGGCAGCACTCTAAAAGATAGCTGACATGGCTTCATTGTAGGCAGGCCATACCTAACCAACCTCATTTCCTTCTATAATCAGGTAACGTGCCACCTGGATAAGGGAGATGAGGCTGATGTCATATACTTGGATTTCAAAAAGGCCTTTGACTTGGTCTCCAATAACATCCTCATGGAAAAATTGGGGAACTGCAGGCTCAACAACTTAACACTCAGGTGGCTGGAAACTGGCTCCAAGGCAGGACCCAGAGAGTATTAATAGACATAACTGTGTCAACATGGTGCATGATGATCAGTGGCATCCCTCAGGGTTCAGTACTTAGACGAGTGCTTTTCAATATATTCATTAATGATTTGGGTGTTAAATGTGTACTGGCAAAGTTTGCGGACAACACCAAATTATGGGGGAGTGTGGTCACTATGGAGGACAGGCTGGGGATACAGTTTGACCTGGGCTGGCTCTCAAGGTGGGCGGATCAAAACCTGATGACATTTAATACCGAGAAATGTAAAGCACTCCATCTGGGGAGAAATAATTCGCAGCACACTTACAGGCTCGGCCGCGCTACGTTTGGTAGCACCACAACCAAAATAGACCTGGGGATCGCGGTAGACCATTGAATGAACATGAGCCACCAATGCGATGCTGTAGCCGGCAAAGCAAATAAAACACTGACATACATCTACTGATGCATCTCAAGCAAGACTAAGGATATCATCTTCCCACTCTACTTGGCTTTGGTGAGGCCGCAGCTGGAGCACTGCGTCTAGTTCTAGGCTCCACACTTCAGGAAGGATGTGGAGAAGCTTGAGAGAGTCAAAAGATGGGCTACACGTATGATTAGAGATCTGGAGAGCAAGCCAAATCAGGAAGACTGAGAGACATGGAACTGTTCAGCCTGGAGAAAAGAAGACTTAGAGGGGACTTGGTGGCAGCCTATAAGTATATAAGGGGTGCACATCAGGATCTAAGGGAGCATCTGTTCAGCAAGGCACTCCAGGGAAGACAAGGAATAACAATTGTAAATTGCTAGAGGATCACTTTAGATTGCACATAAGGAAAAACTTCTTTACGGTTCGAGTGACCAGGGTCTGGAACAGACTTACCCCAGGGATGGTACACACACCTACTCTGGAAATCTTCAAAAAACATCTGGATTCTCACCTTGCTGGGGCCATCTGACCCCAGCAGTCTTTCCTGCCCAAGCACAGGTGGGCTGACCAGATTATCTCATGAGGCCCCTTTTAGCCCCTAACATTTATGAATCTATGAACATGGAAAACGTAACACAATTTCCTCAAGGACCACAAACCACCTGCATGTGAGCAGTCCTTTGAAATGCAGAAATGTAGCTATTACTTTTCCCTAGTCTAGAACTTGCTCAAGCCAAAAGAGAACAGATTCCCATATGGTCAGCCATAGGCTCACATCCAGCAAAGTACTACTTAAATAGATGCTTAACTTCTTTACCAAAATCAAGGCCACATTCAGTTGGAGATCGATCTATATAAGCTTTTACTTCAGCTATAAAAAACAGAACGAATTCTGTTCAGATACATCTAGGAAATGGGTTTGCACAGATGTTAGAAATGACTTCTGGAGAAAAGTGTGCTTGGGCAGATCAACTCTGTATGTCAGTAACTAGAACAGTACTAAATTCTCAATGAGAAATACAGGAGCCCTGCTATCTAAGCTTTGAAAAAAAACAAAGGCATACATGTGCCTAAACTTATCCCTGAGGTTACTGGAATGTTTTCAAGTGATTAGCAGAAACGGGAAAACTATTTGATTTCTGGACCAATATGCTCTGCAATTGCTCTTTATAAAGTGTGCATATTTCATTTCAATTGGTTTCATTATTACTGCAGTATTCAACTACCTGAAACTGCATTATCAATTAAATTAACTTGTTAAGAAATAATTTCAGTGTAATTACCAAACAAGGGGAAGCATAGCCCCTCAGGAGCCATCAGTTCTTCTGTAGCTTTAGTTTGTTTAAAAAAAAAAGGAAAAGAAAAAGAAAGAAATGAGGGCACTGGCAACATTTGTTTCAGAGATGATACAGAAGAGGCTGTCCTCAAGGTCTGATATTTTAGAATCTGAATTTTTCCAGAACAAAACCTAAAACTAGCAGTTGACTATCAGTTCTATCAATTCACTTGACAGAAAAATATCATCCCAAACCCCTACAAAACACACATGCTAGTTACCTTTCAATCCTTCAATGTAAGTTTCCCAAATATTGGGACTGTTGGCATAATTGATTATAATGAAATCCTTTAGTCTTTTTAAATCCAAGAGAAAGAAGTAGCTTTGTATAAACCTACAAGCCAAGACCCATAAAGTTGTTAATGGCAAACGCTGCTCAGAGCTTTCTTTTTTAGGCTTGCTCTCACAAGCAAACACGTTTAATTCAAAACACAACGTTGTCAACTCAACTAGATCCTTATGCACCTCTTGCGGTATAGAACATGGAGGATACACTCTAAAAGAATGATCCAAGGTTTCCTTTGCAGTGGCATCATTTTCACATACAGTTTTGCCTGCATGAGCTTTACTAGCTTCATTCTTTTCCATGTTGTATTCCAAGGCACCACTCTCTCCTTTGTCTACGTGAACTTCGTTATTTTGAGGTAGTTCAATATTTTCTTCCAAGCCTTCACTCTGTTCTTCAGCAAACATAGTTTTGTCTTGCTTAATAGATAAGCCATCATCTGAAATGGATGAACTGTCATCTGAAATGGAAGGCTCTCTGAAGGCAAATGTTTCTTCCAGGTACAAAAACCACTCCTGTAATACCTCCTTCAAGCATTGGGGTTCTAACAATATGAGAGGATCCTGGAGTTTGGCTCTGGAGAACAACAAAAAAGGTGAATTTTCCATAACTGCTAAGAGATACCAAAGTTAACTTATTACATATATGACATAAGCTAATGAACAAGCAGCACGTTATTAGACAACAGAGTTTCCTTGAGCACTTAGGACATGCAATTTAAAATGGGAGAAAAGTCATAACAATTTTCCAAATATGTTTGCAGGCCACACCCCCAAACGCATTTCCTATAGCTTAGCAGACAGCTACCAACATCTGCCTCTGAAGTCCTGTTTTCTCAGCAATCTTCCTGTGGGGTTTCTTTCTTAGTGGAGAAAAGCCCCACTACTGAAATAATAACCTTAATGATGGTCTAAGGATTCAGATGGCTGAATTCAATATCTTCCATGTTGCAGGGGTGTAGGTTGTAGCCGTACCTTAGACCAACACAGCTACAACCTACACCCCTGTAACCTTAAAGATGGCATTAAACTATATCTGGATACATCATCATCTGCCCACCATAATTTACTGCAGATATAAAGAACTGAGCAACTTTCTAGCAGAGTCCAATATAGACTTTACATGCTTTTCACTTACATAGCTTCTACTGTTGCTACCTTGAGGTCTCTTAGCTGGTCCACTTCTGGAGGCTGGCTTTGCTCCACTCTGGAAAGAAATATGAAGGTAACACTGTCATATAACAATCTAAAGAAGGATCTTTTTTAAAAAGTAAGAAAGATATAGCATTAATTCTGTTATAAAACTACAGTTCTCTAACTTTCAATGAAAGATGATTCTGAATCCAAAGAAGTTACAGTTTAGTTTAATAGAGTAGCAAGCATTAACACAACCTCAATGGCCTTTTCACTTCATGGTTCACTTCAAACATTAACAGAGATAACCAAGAAGAGGAAAAACATCAAGCTGCAATAATGAATGCATTACTTGAAACAGCTAACTGATTTGGCAATTTAACAGTTTGGCTCTTGCTCTTTAAATCACATGACAACTCACAAATGTTCAGTGTTTTCTTACTGCTGCTAAACAACCCTCCTAAGGGCGATAAAACTAGGGATGCACCAACATATTGGTTGGCTATCAGATCAGCACCGATAAGAGGAGAAATGACATTACTGGCCATCGGCTTTCTTTGGTCATTGTAGCCAATAATTACGGCCACGTGCCTGGAGCACCTTGGCGAGCATAGTCCGGTCCCCACACCCCGCCAGTGGCCCAAGCCCACAGCAGATTACGGGTCCCAGTGAGCAGCAGTCACAGGGTGCTGCACTCAGCAACAAAGGCACCGTTACCAGCTCCTACTACTGCTGCCACTACCATGGTACAGCCACATGCACTGCAGAGGCCTGAGCACTGGGGCTGCCACAGAGACAACAGCGCAGGCAAGGTAGGGCGCCACACAAAGTACATTCTGCTCTGCTGGACATTGGGCACCTTTACAAAAGTGACTTCTCCCTGGCAGATGTGGGAGGCTGGCTGTGTGGTGCCCACAGAGCGGCGTGCTCCGGGGCTCCAAATGTGCCCAGCACTGCTGTCCACGCAAGGGTCCATCCCACCCACCTGAGACAGCAGCATGAGCTGTGCAGAGGGCAGAGCTGCAGGTAGGAGCTGTGGGTGAGGAGGCAACATGCATGGGAATAAAGCAGTGTGTGCGCGTGTGTTATAAATGCAAAACAAATGAAACAAAGATTTATTTACATCAGTAGTTTAAAATGCCTTGCACCATTACTAAATATCAGTTATAAGATCGGCATTGGCCAATATGGTTGGTTAATCATCAGGTATCAGCCAAGAAAATCTTTAATCAGTGCACCCTTAGATAAAACTGTTTATTCCTCTTCCATTGAAAATAGGAAGTTGGCTTAAAATTCCCATCTGCACAACCCCTTTTGAAGTTAGAACAAAAGACTGAATAGGGAATTACCGAGTTCTCCTTCCTCAGCTATTCCAGTACCCCGAATAGTATGTGCTTTTAATATCTATTTATCTAGAAGAGTTTGCTATCTAAATATAGGTTTCCCTCACTTTACACGGGTTCTGTATGTGCAAATTCACTCTTATGCAATGAACCTTTTTTTCCAAAAATTCGTTATATGTGAGGTAAATTCACTCCTATGCAATTGGTGTGGTAGAAGCCCACAGTCAGCTGTTTTGTATGGTGCATTATGGGAGTGACATGCACCAAAATATGGATCCATGCTCCTTGCTCGTTGTCTGCAACACGCGTTTCTGTAGTTGCCCCATTATGATAGTGCCCTATGCTTGTGTGTACTGTCTGCTGTTGGTGAGTACCAAAACGGTCTTGTAAAAGCGGTAGAAATGGGTCTCAGGGTCAGTATAATCGAGGTCTTGGAATGTATCCTTATTTGTTACATTGTAAAGTGGGTTCCCTTTACGCAAATTTGAATTATACATTGTTTTCCAGGAACGCATGTACAGGATGAAGTGAGGGAAACCTGTATACTTTGAGATAAAGGGTCAGGAATAAAAAAAACGAATTCATGCAACCAGCAGGAGAAAGACATTTAAAAAAATCCATGCAGCAGAATCATATGACCCCCCATTCTACTGAACAGAAGAAAACCCTTTTTGAAATTAGATTCCCAGCCCCTTACAGATTACATATTAAAGTAATGAGAAATATGTGAGCTTGCACTTACATGTTTTCGTCTTCTTCCTGGGGGTATGCTGCTATACTTGCAGTCACTTCATGTGGCTGCTCCTCATCTTTCACTTCCTGCCTCACTTTGACATCAGGACTCACATGAAATGTGCCAATCTTTTCGGTGGTTTTGCGTACGAAGCTGGAAACACTAGGAGTCCAAATTTCAAACAACTTAAATGGCAGCAGGGAAAAGCTCAGCCAGAAACAACGAGTATTAATTTTTCTACCCAAGCTGTTATTTCGGAAGTCTTTAGAACATAAAAGGATGTAAGAAAAGACGATGAGAACATGGAGAACTAGCGAGAATATAAACATAAAAAAATGAACGCACTCATCTCACAACTTGCATACTCTGACCCAGTTCTTTCCACCAAAAGGTGACTTTCACAAGGCAAAGGACACACAAAATAAAACCATAAAAATTTACATTCTGATGCTGCATGAAATGAGGGAAATCTCACTATTAGCGTGCAGATTTTTATCCATACAGGTTATAGTCCACATCAGAGCCATTAAACCAGATGGCAGCATTAAGTTAATTATCTTTAATTTAGGATACACCTCCTCGTCAGTGACAAGAAGTTGTCTTTCAGCATTCATGATTATTAAGATAGTGTAGCAAATGGTTTTGAAGAAACAGGAAGAATGTGATTTTCTTGGGGATGGATGTTAGCCCTATAAGCAAAAAGCCCCACTTAGCTGTATAGTAAAACATTACTATAACAGCTGCTGTACAAGATGGAAATTTATAACTTATTTGATTTATATGCCACCCTTCCCAAGAGAGGCCTAGAGCTGTTTACAAGAGTAGAAGAGAATAATGAAGAACAGAAGATATGTTAATTGTAAAATAAGCCCAGATATGCAACACAGCCCACGTGAAGCCCTCCACTGGGAGGGAGGGACCACCTGTGAACAACCAGCTAACTGCTTGATGAGTCATTAGCAGGAATCCTGGTTTCCTGTTTTAAAAACTTCAAATTCTCCAATTTATAAAAAATCACAAATTCTTTGATTTAAAACTCCAAATCCGCATTTTTCTGCAATTAAAATGAAACGCCATGATATATAAAAGATATCACTTGAACATAAATGTTTTATCAATATATTTAAAATTTTAAAACAATTTGGAAGCCTACCAGCACCTCAATCGTTCAAGAAAATAAATTCTAAATACCTATATATTTTGGTGTTTGATTTTGGTTCTTTTATCGTGGAAAATCAGAGCTGCCCCTGCCCACTTTGCTCACCAGGACATGGGTCCAGCTGCTGCTGTCCCCCTGCTGCTCTGTGGTGCTGAGCAACCCCAATATGCCATTGCCCCTCACTCCCCACCCACAGCCACCCGGCCCTGCCAGTGCCCCTCCCCCCTGCCCTGCCACAGGCCCAGTGCCCGGACATCTTCCGGCAATGCCAACAACCTCCCCCCCACCCCAACCTCCTACACACACCCCTGCCCCACACACATGCGCCTGCCCCCACTTTACTCCCCCCCTCCCGTCTCCCAGATATTGCCCAAGCCCTGGCCCTCCAATCCCCCCTCCCCCATAGACTTACTGCATTCAGCTGCCGGAGCTGCTCCCACCACTCTGCCTGGCTGTATTGATGGCAACATGCACGTGCACATGCACACACACGGCGCCCCCTGCCCTTTCCTCCACTTCCCCCAGCCCCAAGCAGCTCCTTGCAGGCTGGAACACTGCCTGCCTGCAAGGGGGAACCTGTCATTTCCTGCGGTTTTTATCTTTAGAGAGGAAAATCCGTGTTTTTCTCCTTTAAAAGAGAAAATCCACATTTTTCTCCTTCAAAGTAGAAAATCCATGTTTTTCTGCAGCAGACAGAAAACCTGAATTCCACAGTCACAAGGCTGCCTAATGTTTCCTCTTTAACCTCACAGGCTATGGGTCCTAGCCTGCCCCTCCCCTCCTACTTGCTATTGGGGCACCACATGGCTTCCATTTACCCCTTCCCTGCTAGACTGCACCCTGCCCTGTGCTAAAAAATAACCAGTAAGCTAACTAGTTATCACTGGACTTCTCAGTTAAACAATTTATCATTTAACCTTTTCACATCCCTAGTGCCCAGGTAAGATGAGAAAGAGAGTGCTGGGTGTCATCAGCATGTTGATGACGCCTCACTCCAAATCCCACCCACTTGCTTCATACACACATTAACCAGATGGAGAGACAAGGTTAAGCCCTGGGGGACCCACAGGAAAGGTCCTCAGGGGGATGACAAGAACTTGACCATCACCACCCTCTGGGACCTTCCTGCTAGAAAAGAGAAGAACCTGTTTAGAGCAATACCATGAAGACCCACCAAGTCATGTAAATGCTTTATCAGTATCCCATGGTCAGCTGCATCGAAGGCTGCTGAAACTTCAAGTAAGATCAGTAGGGCACAACTCCAGGCACTGATCACTGACCAAGGCCACAAGTACAGTATCTGTGCTATAACCAGGATGAAAGCCAGACTGACATGGATCCAGGAATCTGATGACATCCAGATGAACTCAGAGCTGCTGTGCATGGGCAATGGGCCCATTCATAACCTTCCCCAAAAAGCGAGGTTGAAGACAAGGTGATTACTGGCTGGGGAGTCAAATGTCAAGCATGGTTTCTTAAGCAGGGACCAGACAAATCTCAAGACTTAAGAAGGCCTAGTACCCTGACTTCCTGAAGGAAAGTACTGACAACATTTGCCAGTAGTGGCCCCAATCCCACCCCCCAAAATAAATAAGTATAGAAGCAGAGTCAACAAGTATAAAAATAGTAGAATATGAGATCTTAGAGCTCAGTAGTATTGAAAAGAAATATTGTATAAATTCAATTTTCTTATTTATAAGTGGATATTTTAAGACTGTGTAGAGGAAACAAAAACCTACCAAGTATTTGTGCATTTAATTTTCTGTCCATGTTAAAATGAACATTCTCTAGTAGTCTACTGCTTAGCCCAGATATAGCCTGATATTTGGAAAGTATTCAGTGTGTATTGCTGAAGCTTTCAGTAGTCTAACATAGGGGTCAGTAACCTGAAAGCCATGGGCCAGATCTAGGATCTGACCCACAGCAGCACAGAGAGCAGGCAAAAGGCTGGGAGTGGGGGGGGGGGAGGGAGGAGACAGCAGTACCTGGTAGCATGGGCACCTTCTTCACAGTGCCATGCATTCCTCTGCTGTGTGCCACTGATCGTCTTCCACATAGCCCCAGCCCTCTTAGCACTGCCCCTCACATTCCCCTTCTACAGCCTCCAGTTACCCTCATCACCAGATTTGCCATTCCTCATTGCCGGCAAACGTAAGTACAGCGACAGTAAGGGGGTGTGGGACGCAGAGCAAGGAGGGCTGGGCACTGCAGAAGGGATCAACAGCCCGAGACAGTGGCTGGGTCATGAACAGCAGCCCAGTGTTTATAAAAGTTTCCCAACACCTGGTCTAACAGGCATTAGAAATTCACACAGCACAGGGATGAGAGAGGAATCATTTAGTTCTTTTCCCCCTGCCCTGACACTGGGTGATTTGTACTTAAGCCATTTCTGACTAATATTTGTCTCACCTGCTCTTAAAATATCTCTAATGAGAGACAAGAGATTCCACAACTTCCCTAGTGTAACTAATTAAAACCAAACATTCTCTTGATTATAGGATGTGAAAGCAGTGCGCTCACCTTGGCAATTATGAGGGGAAAAGAGCCAACTTAATATATCAGGATAAAATTGAAAACACACCTTAGGTTAACACTCCTGGTTTTAAATAAGATGCAGTCAATGTTCAGAATAGACACAGGTTTGGAGGGTGGGGAATAAACTTTTGTTTTACACAAGCTATTTCATATTCTCTTTACATTTAGTGTTCTGCTTTTGCTTATAAGGCCTACATTTGATTTTTATTCACAAACAGTTAAGCATAAGCTGCATTTTTCATCGTGTACTTTTAAGGATGCACTGGATTTGCTAACGGAAGGAGAAAGAAAGGTGATTTAGGGCATATATCTTGGCAGTACATATCAGCAATTAAAATGCAAAGCTTTCATTTTGCCTACACACAATACAAAGAGACCTCCTTACACTCTGTAGCAATTTGAACACTACAACTGCCTATACACATGCATGGAGGTGGGTGGTTCCCAGACAACTGCTGTAATTAAATTTATTTAAAAATGGCCACAGGACGCTTTATCTAAACCTCGTTCAACAAGGTTTAGTTAAAGCACCCTGTGGCCATTTTAAATGTGGCACTGCAGCATTCCCAGATTAATCGGGTCTGTTCCAACACGTTTTAATAGAACACCAAGGAACACACGTACAAGGCAGTCTACAGTACCAAATCCTACAGCCACACTCAGTAGGTTCACTTCAAGCCAGAAATACCAACCACCACCTAAAGGACACTTTCATATTTTCCTCAAATTGCATATGAGAAAAGAGAGTGAAATCTTGACTCCACTGAAGTAAATGGTAAGCCTTCTATTGTTCAGTAGAGTCAGAGTAAAACCTTAAGTTCACTACCAAATTTGATTTCACGTGCTGTATTTTCTGTGATATTGTAACTTCTTGCAAAGTAAGGCATGAATTAACAGACAATGCTACAAAATCAGAAAACAAATTAAAAAAAACAAAACAGACATAATGGATGAACAAATCTCCTAGGATTTTACCTTTCCTTGACAGCTTGGAGAGAGACGAGAGGAGATGGGGAACGAAATGACAAAGGAATACTGAATGGGAGAAAAGTCTCAGTCCGATCAGTCTCAACCGTCACAGAAGCATGAGACACGTTGTCTAACAATGGAATTGAAATAAAAATCATGAAACAGTGAAGTGACCTGACAAAATGAAACATTTAGTCAAATTCTGAGCTGGAAACTCTTAACAGGGAAACCGCTTTTACATGACATAAAACATGTTTATGGACGTTTTTTATTTTTGTAACTGAAGACAGATTTTTTTGGTGGAATTCTCTTTTTAAGGGAGAAGGTGCCTCAAAGGGTAAGAGTCTAGCATTGAGCACGAGGGGTGTGTGCACAAAGTCTATTTCAATGTTACTGACCTTGGACTTAGTGAGCTTTTTTTATTCATTTTTTGGATCTGCACTGATAAGTGCTGTGAGGCAGCTGACAAAACAATGACAGTTATAGAGGGAAACACTGAATGAACAGTAGTCTTCTGTTCAATGGCTTCTAGCCAGATGACTACATTTGAACCAATCACGGTTGCACAAAAATTCAAAAGATTGTCATGCATAAAACTACAAGGTATTTCAAAAAAGCCAACTCAGTCTGAATACCCGTAATGAAATATCCATTGCTACACTCTCTCGTTCTATCTGAAGACAAATCAGTATAACTTAATCCGAGTGCTAACCCTTGACATCAACCAAAGGGAAATCAGTAACCGAAAATGTTTACATAATCTGTTTGTTAGTTTTTCTTTCCCCAGTAACTACCAATGAATTTGTTCCTTTTCTTTTTTGCCCTTCATCCTTGAGAACATACATAGTATGTGCCAGTCATACTAAAGCTCAGACAACAGATGAAGTCAGTTTTGAGCCATCTGTTTTACCTTTTGGACATTTTTTTTTTAAAGAAGAAAACAAAAAGCACAAAACTCTCCTACAATGCAAATGAATTCACAGTTGCAGTCTTTTTTCAGATGTTGTCAGTAGCATTTTTCTGTTGTTCTTTTCAAACCATGCCCTAGCATGAGTCATGCACAAAATGCCCTCTGGATTTTTAGATGATGCAATTAAGGAAAAAGAGTTAATTTTAATAATGGTGGCTCGGATTTTACCGCCTGCTGCTTCAGAACAACATCTTTGAAAATTATTTCTGCTAGCATTCACAGTAACCCTACCCACACAGTACCAGAATAAATGATCTATCGAGTCAGTAGACCTCAAGATCAATATTACACTTCCTGCAAACAGACTAGCTTTTATGCATTATGTGGAAAAGCATCATGTAAAAGTTAATGGCCCTTTATATAAAATGTGAAGAGAAGAGGCCATTCATTATGCTTACTTAATAAGGGAAGCATCTCAAGCACCACATGAAAAACTCACATGCAGACACAGAGACAGAGAACCATCTAGTACTTATGTGATTTAGCGATTTAAAATAGTCTGATTTGTTTCAAATCAAATGCCCTTGTTTTAACCTTCTTAAACATAATAAGGTGATATGGTAAAAGGTGTAAAGATGATGAAACAAGAGACATATGGCAAATGTAAAAGCTGATGGTTACAAATGTCACTAGCATTGATTAGTAGCATAACACAACGTAAAAAGAAAGGATGAAGGATATTAACTTATAAATCTTTATTTTTTATCATTACTTCCTGACACACATTGAGATGAAACCCACTACTTCTAGACAAAAAACAACACAGCACAAAAAGAAAATCCACCTGTTTTTGTGCTAGCAAAGTTTAGCTAATGGCGTCAGTGGATTAATCACTAAAAAGGACAAAGAAACATTCCAATATATTTTCAAAACCTGTAATACATCCTATTTTGATTTTAGGTACTCTGCATCTTTCCCTCTTGAAAACACCCAGTTCTCTACTTAAGGGGTCAGGAAGATTTCACAGTATTTCATCACCTGCTAGAGTCTGCAGCTGATGGATAAGACGCTCCCATTTACACAGCTGAGGAAAGGGAGATGTTGCCCTGTGTATTCAGCTATGTGGGTATCCAGGAAGGGTAGCATCCTCAATTCAAATGTGGATTCAGTATTATCTCTTACTAAACCTTGTCTCTTCAGTTCTGTGTCATCCAGCTCTTCTGGTACAAGTGACTAGATTTGTTTTTTCTTTTTAAAGCAAGCTAAGTCTCCACATGCTTCCTCAATAACAGCAGAGTATACTCTCTGTAAGAGCAGGGTCCTTCCTGAAAGGCCACGCTATATCCAAGTCTAGCACCAAAAAGCCTCTAGCTCTTGGTGGGAAAATAAAGGGCAATGCTGGTGGGATTGTGTAACAGCATTAGTATTTCAAAATGATACTTTACCCTACCCCCTCAATATGCTTATCTTTGAAAATACAAAAAAGCCACCACCTCAGAAAAAAAAAATAAAACTGCAGGGAAGTTAAAAGCTCTCTTCTTACACCTACCACCATCTCAGATCCAAAATCCAGGTATGTTAGCTGATGTTGGAATTGTTTTTTTTTTTACATAGAAGTTAGACTGTAAAAATGACAAAGTATTTTTAAGTCTGTTATGAAATCACTAGTTACTTGATGAAAAGTGCGTGACAAGCACATTTCCAATGTATGCCATTACCAAGGTCCACTTGCTCTTCTTCCTGATGTGCAGAAAATTCTTTAAGTCTCTCATCTTCTGATAGGGCTTGACTGTGTATAGAACAAGAGTCCTCATCTGACTGACTGCCTCTTCGGCTAATAACACGATAAATACCAGAGTCTAAAACACTGAAACTTTCCTGTGGAAAGGGAAGAGTCACATGAGGCACAGAAATATCCTTCCATATTAAATCACATTCTAAGAAAAAAAAAAAGCATCACCAAAACTTTTTTTTATCACCATGGTACAGATTCTACCACTACCCTTCTCACGCATCTTCAGAGTGAAAACCAACTTGGGTATTTGCATGCTGATAACTATGCAACATCATGCAACTGGTTTATTTAAAAAAAAAAAAGAAACATTTTTAGAAGAGTATTTATAAAACAACTATAAATGTAGTGGCATGAGCAGAATAATATTCAAGAACTCACTAATTTTAAAACGTTGGTTGTGACCAGCACAATGTTGTGGGGGCAAGTCATTTCACCTTTCTGTACTTGCCTACATTTAAGTTTTGGGTCACATTATAATGGACTGACTCCCAGCTAACAAGAATTAGCTAATACAGATTCTTCATAAAATTACCCTCTAGAACATGCACATTTCTTCCTGGCCCAGGCTATGCCTTTCAGCATCTACAAAAACACGTAACACTCCTCTACCTCAAGAAGTTATTGTGTGAATAATTTGTTGCCTAAAATACTTTGAATGTGGAAAGAACCATGCATGTTATTAAACACGGTATTCACAAGATACTGAAAGCTGTAGCCACTGCCAACCAACCATACACATAAGACAATAATGGCACCAACTGTGAATTTTTCCTGTGTTTTCAGGAAGAATGTGAAAACCACTTAAAATACAGCTTCAGAAGAGAAAAACGCTCATGCATTAACCACCATGGGTCAGATAAGCTAATAACCAGGGAGGCCCACAATATCAGATTGTACCCTTACAAATTTAAATATCTGAATTAACAGTGTCTTCCCTTCCTCACCCAGCAGTCCCCAATAAGGAATAGACATTCAAAATATATGACCACTGCCAGTTAAAACAGACACTTTGCAAGAAAACTATTCTCCAATGTGTGAAGTGTATGTTAATAGGCAAGGTTGTAAATAGTGATGATGTGGACTGAAGGGTGGGAAAAAGAAACATCCAGGACTTCATGTGCACCTACATGTGATGAGATACTGCTCCTCCTACTGCTGCATGCAGAATCTAGAGGTTCCAACTTTGAAATCAATTCTTCCAGTTGACTAATGACATCTGGTTGTGTTGAGAGGTCCAGCTGTGATTTCAAGTGTTCTAACTTATCTAGAGGCAAAGCTTTTCTTGCCTACCAATACATAAAAATAGAAAAAGAAAAGAGTACTGTTAAGATTTTTATATTCAGCGGGAAAGTAACACTTATGCCTCTCTGACCAAGTTAGTCTATAAAGGTGCCACGCTGTCCCACTTTCTGCCCATCTTCAGACTAACATGGCTAACTACCTCTGACTAGACTAGTTATAATAATACCATTTATACAAGATAAGTTTTAACTGAAAGGTGTCACTACTGGTTAATTTTAGAGCTGCATCTCAATGTAGGGGAAAAGGTCCAAAATCCTAAGTGCAAAATTCCACAGGACTTGTTTCAGGGGGTCGGCACATGGGGAGGACAACTGAACAGACACAGTTTAGGCAGTACACAGATAGCAAAAAGAGTTTACTTACTCTGCAGGAAACAATGGAGTTCTGGAAGAGGCAGCAGACTTTGGCAGCAAGGCTCCAGAAGCCTCGTCGCAGCAGACGTTCTACACAGCGCTCCACTAGCAGAAGGGAGAGGTGCGAGACTTTCCCATACGTATGCAGACAGAATAACTCATTTTTGAATACTGCAATATCCTGAATATCTACATAAAAACAGTTGAGCAGAAAAGTCATTGGGGTTAAATGACCTAACCAGCCTTTCTTCCAATTTCCTTCTTAACCTGCCTGTTAACAATTTCAACAGCTTTCCATTCTTATAATTCATCAGTAACAAGTAACATTAGATGGTACTATACCACTTTCTAATTAATGTGATGTACAATGAAAGTAATGAAGTCCCTTGGCCTTTGCAAAACTGCCTAAAAGCATTAAAAAAAAAAAAAATATCCCCAAATGAGGTACTTTATTTTTCTTTAAAAACAACAGATACTAATTCAAAGACAGACACTGTCTTTAAATCCATTCCTAAAATCTAAATTTTGATTCAGCTTCGTTATGGAATAAAGACTTCCTGCCCCTTTTTATAGGGGCAGACCTTATGTGACCCTAGTGACAGGAGGCATGCCCAGGCAAGGGTCAGCCCTTGGTGTACTGAGCATGTGTGCTCCATGCAGAGATGTGCAGTTTCGGGTGTCTGTAATGGTGAGAGTTGCTGGTTTTGCAGGGTCTTTTGTCTTTCAAATGCTGGTCTTGTCTCTGTTCCTGGGTGAGCTCCATGGTTCCTGGGTGAATCAATGCGAGGTTATGACTCAGTCATTACAGGCCATTCAGTAGAGGCCTGCTACCATTGTATTTCAGTTATTCCCACTTACACTCATTCATCGGGGAACCAATTTCTAGATGGGGTCATCTAGACCCAGCACTATT